GCCCCTCCCTGCTCCCCAAACACCCCTCGACCTGGTAGAGCGTGGTCGGCACATCCACGTACTTCTCCTGGACCTCCACCTTGGGCACCTGGGCTTAGGGTTTCGGGTTTAGGGTTTAGGGTTTAGGGTTTGGGGTTTAGGGTTTAGGGCTAGAGCCCCAAACCCTGTCCCTAAACCCTAAACCCTAAACCTCAAACTGTCTAAACAGCTGGCTTTGGGGCGGCTTACAGCTTGAAAGCGAAGAGCTTGTGGGTCTTTTCCTGAAATCCTGTACCCCCCTCCCTCCCCACCTTAACTACCCCCAACTCAAAGGGTTTAGATTTCGGGCTGGGGCTTAGGGTTTCGGATGTAGGGTTTAGGGCTTCGGTTGCAGGTTTAGGGTTTCGGGTTTCGGGCTGAGGGCCCATTAGGCCTTTGGCAGTTTCATGGGCTCGGCTGACAGGGTTTAGGGTTTAGGGTTTAGGGTTTAGGGTTTAGGGTTTAGGGTTTAGGGTTTAGGGTTTAGGGTTTAGGGTTTAGGGTTTAGGGTTTAGGGTTTAGGGTTTAGGGTTTAGGGTTTAGGGTTTAGGGTTTAGGGTTTAGGGTCAAGGAGGGGATGGGGTTGAGTTTGCTGTTTACGAAGTAGGCGTTGGGATTACTTGCTTGGGCTTTCGGGTAGGGAGTTCAGGGTTTGAAGGCACCCTAAACCCTAAACCCTAAACCCTAAACCCTCAACCCTAAACCCTAAACCTTAAATACAAACCCTAAACCCTAGAATCGACCCCCAAGCCCCCCTCTCTCCCAAAAAACCTACGAGACCCTGAAACCCTAAACCCCCCAAAACCCTAAACCCCAAAGCATCTACAACCCTAAACCCTCGAACCCAAAACCCCTAAACCCTAAACCCCAAAAGCACGGAACTCCTCCCCATCCCCCCGAAACCCTAAACCCTAAACCGCCTAAACCCTAAAACACGCTGTGAGGAGGCGGCCTCGACGATCTTTTCGATGAGCTGCACCTCGGTAGAAGCCCCAGAGGCAGTTTTAGGGTTTGGGGTTTAGGGTTTATGGTTTAGGGTTGAGGGTTGAGGGTTGAGGGTTGAGGGTTGAGGGTTTAGTTTTCTGGGCGTCTAAGGCTTAGGGTTTATCCTGAGCGTGTATCAGTGCACGCGCGCGGGGAGTGAGCCTTCTCTTTAGATTTAGGCGCGCACTCCCCACCGCGCGCTCTCGTTGCTTAGGAAGCGAAAGGTTGTGGCACAGGTCCGGGGGGGACAGAAACTTTCACCAACCCCTTCTTTGGAAGCTTCACCACAACAAGAAGGTTTACATGTTTCGCCCTCGTGAGAGGGGGTGGCAGGCGGGATGTATATGGCCAGAGCTCTCGCCGGTTGAGGCTTTAGGGTTTAGGGTTTGGGGTTTGAGGGGGTTTGGGGCTTGGAGCTTGGGGGTTTGGGGCACTGGGGTTTTGGGAGGGTTTTGGGGGCTTGGGGAATTGTGGCATTTGGGGGCTTAGGGTTTGGGGTGACCTGCTCGTGGTGCAGTCGTGGTTATACAAACGCGCCCCCGCTTCTCTTCTCTGTGAACCCCGTTTCGCAAGCTTTTGGCAAGTAGGACTTCGGGATTACAGGGTTTTTTCAGGGGCTTAAAGGGCTTGAGGAGGTTTGAGGGTATTCAGGTTCACAGAACGGAGGGGTTTAGGGGGTTTAGGGGGTTTAGGGCTGTAGGGGTTTAGGGCTGTAGGGCTCTAGGGCTTTAGGTCTTTAGGGCTTTAGGCTTGAGGGGTTTAGGCCTTTAGGGTTAGGGGTTTCGGGTGTAGGGCTTGCCCAGGCCAGTTCATCCCCAACCTCTGCTACCCCAAGACCCTCGTAGGAATCAGTGCCCTGGCATTTGGAGTTGCTGGGCCTTCAAAAGTTCTGAGGCCAGGGTCCCCTGCAAAGGGTTTAGGGTTTAGGGTTTAGGGTTTAGGGTTTAGGGTTTAGGGTTTAGGGTTTAGGGTTTAGGGTTTAGGGTTTAGGGTTTAGGGTTTAGGGTTTGGGGGGGTTCAGGGTTGAGGGTTTAGGGTTTGGGCCTGGGTCCTCATTAAAGTTGGAATAGAAGACCTGCAACACAAGAACCTCCAGGGGGAGAAACCCATTCATGAAAGAGCTGCGGCTTAGGGTTTACGGTTTAGGGGCTTAGGGCTTAGAGTTTAGGATTCCCTGAACCACCCTTGCAGAAATCCCGGCACAACCCTCAACTGCATTTTTCGCGCCAGGCGGGCCAGCGGCAATTGGCTGCAAACGATGTGACAACGCAGTTGCGTGGGTAGCTTTCGTAACCCTGAACCCTAAAAACCCGAACCCCTAAACCCCTAAACCCCTACACCCTAAATCCTAAACCGCGAAACCCTAAACCCTAAGTCCTCTAAGCCCTTAAGCCCAATCTTAACAGGGTACACCTTATGTACCCTGCACAATATAAGGGCCCATACATCAGAACCCTTTTAAGGGAGGCAAGGGACCATACTAAGGGCCCATGAAACTACCCTAACCCTTCAGGCCCAAGACAACCCTCGGGGACCTAAGGCTTCAAAGCCCCGAGCTTTCCCCGGCAGAAGCCTACCCACGCGGCGACATGTACAGCTTGTGGCAGAGGGCGTTTCAGGCTTAATTAGGGGTTTAGGGTTTAGGGTTTAGAGCTTAGGGCTTGGGGTTTGAGACTATAGGTTCTTTTTCTTTTCTTTTTTTTGGGGGCGGGGGACGGGGGGAAGATATTTACATAGGGACCATAAGGGGATACTACTAGTAATTACTCCGACCCTATAGTACAGCTTGTGGCAGAGGACTTTAGAAGCTTAATTAGTTTTAGGACTTAGTTTAGGTTTAGGTTTGAGGGCTTAGGGGTCACACTGCTCTGCTCTAGGAATTTCGGGTTTCGGGTTTACGGTTTAGGGTTTGAGGGCTTAGGGTGAAGGCTTTGGGTTTTCGGGCTTGGGGACCAGTAGGGCTTTAGGACTTGAACCTGTTTGAGGTTATATACATACATCTATGTAAACATATACATATACACACACATATACATACATATATACATGCATATATACATACATGTATACATACATGTATGCATACACACATGTGTATATAGAGAATTGTTTTTATTTTAAATTATATATTTATGGGCCACAACCCTCGACCCCAAAACCCTCTGTACCTTGCCAGGAACCGGAGGGGATCCCAGGGAAGCCTCAGCATAAGTCCTTCCCTTAATTGAGGGTTTAGGGTCTAGGGTTTAGGGTTTAGGGCTCAGGGTTCAGGGTTCAGGGTTTGGGGTATAGGGTTTAGGGTTTAGGGTTTAGGGTTTAGGGTTTACGATTTAGGCTTTAGGCTTTAGGGTTTCGGGTTTAGGGTTTAGGGTTTAGGGTTTAGGGTTTAGGGATCTGAGGGCCCCGTTGTATGATTACTTTTCTTTGTTTTGTTTCTTGTTTTTTTTTTGGGGGGGGCCTAGGGGCCTAGGGGCCTGGGAGGGGCTTTCGGTGCTTCGGAGTTTTACGTGCTTTAGAGTTGGGCTGTTTGGGGTTTTATGCTTTAAGGGGTTTAGGGATTTAGGGTTTATTGTTTGGGGTTGGCGCCTCAAGCGTTGGTGTTGCTTTGACACTCTTGCCTGGCAGGGCCGGCGGGAGATGGCATTCGAGGCGACACTCCTCCCTTTGAACCCAAGAATCTGTGAACGCAAGAGACCCAAAACGTCCTAAGCTCAAATTTCTAGACAATCAAAAAACCCTAAACCCTACACCCTAGACCTTAATTCAAACAAATCCTGAGCCCTAAGTCATTAAAGTAAGCCCTAGAGAAAGTCCTCAACCCTACAAACCCTAGAGCCAGATGCTCGACCCTAACATTACATCGTAAACCCTGAATCCGAAGGGGTTTAGGGGTTAGGGGTTAGGGTTCAGGGTTCAGGGTTCAAGGTTTAGGGTTTAGGGTTTAGGGTTTAGGGTTTAGGGTTTAGGGTTTAGGGTTTAGGGTTTAGGGATTAGGGTTTGGGGTTTGGGGTTTAGGGTTTAGGGTACATCTAAAAACAGAAAGGGGCGTACTACCCGAACAGCTCGTCAACCCCGAAGCCTCAAACCCTCCACCCCAAACCCCTAGCCCTGAACTCCAACTCCCTACGTCTCACCCAGGGCGGACACTAAACCCTAAACCCTAAACCCTTAACCCTAAACCCCGGAGCAGACGTTGGAACTTGTGAACCAGCACACAGGGTACGCAAACCAAAAAAAAAAAGTAGCAGGCGTACCAACCTTACAGCCCCAAAACGGCCCAAAGCCCTGCAAGGGGGAGGTTGAGATAGAAACCAAACCCTAAACCCTAAACCCTAAACCCTAAACCCTAAACCCTAAACCCTAAACCGAAAGGCCCCCAAGACCCTCGAAAGGGCAGACCCAAACGTCCCAAAAGAAGCCCTGAACAGCAAAAGGGGAACCCCCAAAAAGAAGCTCCAAAAGGGGAGCAAGCCCTCAAAAGGCCCGTAAGCCGTGATCCCGGGGAACCTCAAGAAGCCCTTAAGAAGCCCTGAACCCCAAAACGCGCCCAAAAGCGCAGTGAACCCTAAGAATAGCAAGCCGAGCCCGAGTTCGAATAGGGGTTTAGGGGTTTGGGGGTTTAGGGGGTTTAGGGGTTTAGGGGTTTTTATTGGTTTAGGGGTTTAGGGGTTTAGGGGTTTAGGGGTTTTTATTGGTTTAGGGGTTTAGGGTTGCGATTTGTCGGGGTGGTTTATGTCTTAGCCCAGGGTGACACAAATAATGGATCCCTTTACAGTGCCCCAACACCCTAAGCCCTAAGCCCTATACCCTAAACGATAAGGAATAGTACATGCCAGAATGGAACCCTTCAATAGCCCCTAACTTGGATCAATCCCCCAAGGTACCCTGAACCCCTAAACCCAAGGCTAAACCCGAACCATAAACCCCTGAACCCAAAACCCCTAAACCCTAAACCCTAAACCCCTCCCAAACCAATGAGCTCCCGCAGCGCGCGGGCCTTACACTTTGGCGCCATCCTCGACCTCCAGCGTGGACCCTAAGCCCTAGACCCAAAACCTTTATAGGGTTTAAGGTTTAGGGTTTAGGGTTTAAGGTTTAGGGTTTAGGGTTTAGGGTGTAGGGTGTAGGGTGTAGGGTTTAGGGTTTAGGGTTTAGGGTTGCGATTTGTTCGGGTGGCTTCGGGCTGAGGATCTCCGGCAATTGGAGTTCGGAGTTCAAGGCTTCGGGAAGGATTGGGATTTGGGGTCCAGGGGTTTGGGGTTTAGGGTTTGGGGTGTGGGGGTTGGGGTGTAGGGCTTCACAAGACACAAAATGATAGGAACTTGGGACGAAAACCTAGACCCCGAACCGTGAACCCGAAGCCCTGAACCGATAAAAGCCCTAAGCCCCGCAAGCCTCAACCCTCAGCCCCCGCAACCCTGAACCCTAAACCCGGCCCTAAAACCCTAAACCCTAAACCCTAAACCCTTAAATCCCTAACAAGCCAGAGCTTGCCTTCGCGCACTCCTTGATGAGAAGCCTCTTCAGCTCCGCTGGCACGCCCAGGCCTAGGCGCCCAAGATGAAGAAATGTTGTGGGCGGTTACTTGGAGGTTCATGGTACTGACTAACCACTTATAACTGTACTTATAACCCTACTTATAATCCCCCTAAAGGGCCTTATAGGGGTTATCCCAATTATAAGTACGGTTATAAGCCCAGTTATAAGTAGTTATTAAGTCTCATGAACCTCCAAACAGGGTTCGTAGGGTTCTTACGGCTCTTGGGGGCTTAGGGCCTTCGGGCTTTAGGGTTTTAGGATTTAGGGCTATTAGTAATCAGGGTTATCAGAGTTTGGGGTCATCGGTCATAGAGTTTAGCGGGTGGTTTCGGGCGGTTTCGAGCTACATGCGTTTTGGGGCTTGTGCTGCAGCCTAAACTGAAACCCAAACCCCGAAATCCCAAAATCCTAAACCCAACCAACACATGCAATGTCGTTGAGCCAGCTTCCAAGCCATCTCGAAAGCTCTTCAGCGATGCCTGTTTGTTGAGGCCGGCCTTCTTGAACCGTCCTAGGACCTCCTGCAACATCTCGTGGCCTTCCACCGCAGGGCACTCGGGCAGACGAGTTCTCACTATGGGCTCCTGTGTGGCGCTTCTTCCATCTCCTCATCCGTGCTGACCTGGGCGCTAGAGAGCCCCTAGAGCTCGTTCTAGGCCAAGCCGAACTCCGTGCTGACTTGGGCGCTGGAGCTCGTTACCCAAACTCCCCAGACAACCCGAAACCCCGAAACCCCGAACCCTAAACCGTAAACCCCAAACCCCATACCCTAAGTCCTTAACTCCAAGACCTCCACCCCTAAACCTTGAAGGAAAAAAAGCGAACCTCGAAAGCCTAAGCCGGAGGACCCGCTTGAGACCAACGAAGGCCAGGGACGTCTCCCCCTAAACCCTAAACCCTAAACCCCTTAACGATGGTCCCTCTCGGGTACCCCTGTTGTTCGAAGACTAAACAACTGAAGGCATTGAACCTCATAAAACCCCTCAACCCTAAACCCTCAACCCTAAACTCTAAACACCCTGAACACCCTGAACACCCTAACCACCCTAAACACCCTGAACACCCTAACCACCCTAACCACCCTAAACACCCTAAACACCCTAACCACCCTAAACACCCTAACCACCCTAAACACCCCAAACACCCTAAACACCCCAAACACCCCAAACACCCCAAACACCCTAAACACCCTAAACACCCTAAACACCCTAAACACCCTAAACCCCCTAAACCCCCATAAGCCCTAAACCCTAAACCCTAAACCCTGAACCCTGAACCCTGAACCCTGAACCCTGAACCCGAACAAACCCTATAAACCCTATAAACCCTAAACCCTAAACCCTATAAACCCTAAACCCTAAACCCTAAACCCTAAACCCTAAACCCTCTAAACCCTAAACCCTAAACCCTAAACCCTATAAGCCCTAAACCCTAAACAAAACCCCAAACCGCAGCTCTTCGGAGAGCGGCTGTACAGCGTCGTCGCCACGAGCACGAGAAGCGTGCCCAGCACGAAGAGGATGTCGGGCTCAAACTCCTGAAGCTGCTTTTGAAGGTTTCGGGGGCTTGGCTAGCGTTCGGGGTTTAGGGTTTAGGGTTTAGGGTTTGGGGTTTGGGGTTTGGGGTTTGGGGTTTGGGGTTTGGGGTTTGGGGTTTGGGGTTTGGGGTTTGGGGTTTGGGGTTTGGGGTTTGGGGTCCAAGGGGAGTTAGGATCAAGGGGGGTTTAGGGCTTAGGGGTTGCGGGCTTGGTCGATGGGGTTAGGGTTCAGGGTATTGGGGTGTTTCTCACGCTTCTGTTTAACTCGACAACCTCCGGGAGAAGAAAAGGTCGCTTAGGGTTTCGGGTTCAGGGTTTAGGATTTAAGATTTAGGGTCGAGGGTTTCGGGTTTAGGGTTTAGGGTTTAGGGTTTAGGGTTAGGGTTTGTTGGAGTAGGCCTAAACGGGATCGTGCCAGGGTAGGTGCTGCGAGTCGTGCGTGCAGCAGCAGACCCTGAGCCCTCAATTCGATCATCTTCGTCTTAGGCATGGCACTCGACTCATCATCACCATAGATCACGCACGGGCTGACACAGCCAACTAGGACCAATAACAAGGCCCTCACGGAGGTGGTGGTCGAAGGCTCTCCCAGCACCATTCCTGGATTATATCGGCCATATATACCGAAAAAGGGACATTTATATATATATATATATATATATATTTATATTTATTTATTTATTTATTTATTTATTTATACCCTTTGAAGGGTTATACAGGCTAGATATACCCTTTAAGGGTTATAGGCTATATATCTGCCGACTGGTGCCGAATGGCGCCTGTCTGAACCCCGCGCCATAGTCCAGTTGCGCGTACAAAGCTCCATGGACGACGTAGCAGGAGTTGAGCATGGCTCATGTGTGTGCAATCGCTGCAGACCTCAATCACCCTGAGCCGCAGAAACCCTAAATGACCCCAAACTCTAAACCCCAGCCAGCCTTTCAAAAAACACGTCACCCTAAGTTAAACCTAGCCAACGCTCAATAGCCCTAAACCACCATAAACATCCCTACAAGAATCCTAAGGAACCCTAAAATCTTAAACCTCAAAAAAACCTCTAGACCCAAGAGTAACCAAGGAATTACAAAGGGTGCCCTTTGCGGTGTACGGGGGCTTATAAGGGACCTAAACCCTCAAAGAAAGGGAGTAACCACAAACCCTAAAACCCTAACCCTAAACCCCACACCCTAAACCCTAAAACCCCAAAACCCTAAACCCTACTCGAACCAGCTTCGGGGCTGAAGCGAGACGCCATGTCACAACAATGTGCGCTTGGGGGTTTGAGGCTTGAGGGCTTGAGGGTTTGAGGGTTTAGGATTTAAAGCTTGAGGGTTTCAGGGTTTCAGGGTTCGAGGGTCTGTCGCTGAGCTTTGTGAAGGATCGCAGAAACCACAAAGGAGCATTTAGGGTTTAGGGTGTAGGGTTTAGAGTTCAGGGTAACCCGAAAGGCCGAACCTCCCACTTGAACATTGCCAAGGTCTGAAGCCTGGGCCCCTAGTATGGGCAGTTTGGGGCGTTCCTCATCTACCTGGCAACGTACCCCATACGAGTATAGACATGTGAGTTCAAGGAGTCCAATGCGAGTATAGACATTTGAGTTGAAGCCGTCAAATTTAAGGCTGCCAACCCTAAACCCTACTAAACCCTTAACCCTAATCCCTAAACCCTAAACCCTAAACCCTAGCCCTAAACCCTAAACGGGCGCCTGCAGCAACGCCGCAGACATCAGGCAACTGATTACCTCCAGGCTCTCAGGGTTTAGGAGGGTTTAGGGTTTAGGGCTTAGGGTTTAGGGTTCAGGGTTTAGGTTTTAGGGCTGGGGCTTTGTGGCTTCGGGTCTGGGAGTTTCGGGTTCAAGGTTTTTGTCTCTCAGGGCCTCTGCCATCGTTTGCCGTGTTTGGGGGTCTTTTTAAAGGCCCGGCTTAGCCAAAAACACCCAAACCCAGAGCCCTCCAAGGGATGATAAGGGGATCCTATGTTTCTAAGCCCCCTAAACCCTAAACCCTAAACCCTAAACCCTAAATAAACCCTATACTCCAAGCCCCTTAAACTTCCCTAAACCCCCGCTAAAGCGTTGAGAACTAAGGCTCCTGTGTTACTGGCTGGTTCTTAGTAGGGAATGAGGGAATGGGGGCCCTATAAAATCCCTTAAAGGTATTTATGGGGCACTCATCCCCTCATTCCCTACTAAGAAGAACCTTAAACCCTAAACCCTAAACCCTAAACCCTAAACCCCAAACCCTAAACCCTTGGGGTGTTACCAAGCCCTCGGAGAGCTTCCCACTGAGCGGGCGGCAATGGACATCGCGTTGCCGAAGCACCTGGCAATGGCCGCAGAGGAGAGCCAGGCTTTCGCATCTTTAGGGCTTTAGGGTATTTTTGGGGTATGTTAGGGTATTTTAAGGTATTTTAAGGTGTTTTCGGGTATGTAAGGGCATTTTAGGGTTTAGGGTTTAGGGCTTAGGGCTTAGGGCTAGGGATTTATTTGAGACAAAGATGTCCTGTCACCCGCACCCCCGAAGAATGCAGCCCCCCCAACCCGGTACTCCCTCCCCAGGAACAGCACCCTAAACCCTTAAACCCTCAAACCCTCAAACCCCTAAAACCCTTAACCCTCAAACCCTCAAACCCTCAAACCCTCGAACCGTTAAACCAGGTTGTGAGAGCTTCTTAGGGGGCTCAGAGCCTAAGCCGAGAATTGAGATGAATACGCCTTTACCCCAATGAGGGGACACCCCAATTTCTAACATCCACATGTGTCTCCGTAAAATAATTGGTCAGTTCTCAAAAATAAGGTCCTTTGTTGGGTTGACCCAAATCAAAGGGGCTACCTTTCCAATAGTAACTCCAATAGTAACCCCAGGAGGGGACCATAATTTAGAGAATGTGACCATACGTATCTCTGCAAATATGCTGCACCTCCGGATGATGATGATGATGATGATGATGATGATGATGATGATGATGATGATGATGATGATGATGATGATGATGGTAACCCCCAAACACTAAATCATAAACCCTACACCCGAAACCCCAAACCCCAAACCCTAAACCCTAAACCCTCAAGAACATCGAAACGAAACCACAGACACCGAACGAAGAAAGAGAGGTCCCAAGCATGGCTGAGGGCGCTTGAGGATGTTGTCGGCGTACTTGAGCACCGCGGCCACAACCAGGCCTCCCACCGCCTGCGGCACCACTTTGGGCTTGTTTAGGGCTCGGGTTTCGGGTTTAGGGTTTAGGGTTTCGGGTTTAGGGTTTAAGGTTTCGGGTTTAGGGTTTCGAGTTTAGGGTTTCGGGTTTAGGGTTTCGGGTTTAGGGTTTATGGCTGAAGGCTTAGGGTCTAGGGTCGAAGTCTCTTGAGGCACCGATGATGCTCTGAAACCCCAGGACACTGCACACTCCGCAACTCCGTGCTCCGAGGGAACCGCGCTAAACCCTAAACCCTACAGCCGAAACCCTAAATCCTGAACCCTAAACCCTAAACCCTAAACCCTAAACCCTAAACCCTGAACCCTGAACCCTAAACCCTAAACCCTAAACCCTGGGCTTGACATCGATCCGACTCACAGGGCGGAAAGCCACCATGGTTAGGGTTTAGGGTTTAGGGTTTAGGGTTTAGGGTTTAGGGTTTAGGGTTTAGGGTTTAGGGTTTAGGGTTTAGGGTTTAGGGTTTAGGGTTTAGGGTTTTGGTTTTTGGGTTTTGGGTTTTGGGCTTTGGGCTTTGGGTTTTGGGTACAGCCCTGAACCCTGAGCCCTAAACAAAAAAAAGCGAAACCCTGACAGCCCCAAAAAGACCCCCCCCCTAAACCCTAAACCCTAAACCCTAAACCCCAAAAAGACCCCCCCCCACAAAAAAAAAAAAAAAAAAAAAACTCCCAGGCTTGTGGGCTCTGGGGCTCCGAGTGTGGGGTTGAGGGCGCTTTTGGGTTTAGGATTTAGGGTTTAGGGTTTAGGGTTTAGGGTTTAGGGTTTAGGGTTTAGGGTTTAGGGTTTAGGGTTTAGGGTTTAGGGTTTAGGGTTTAGGGTTTAGGTGTTGGGAGTGTTTCGAGATCAGGGCTTTTCGGGGCCTTCGCAGGGCTTCGGACTTAAGGTTTACAGGGCCGAGGGTGCCTATATTGATAGCCCTAAACCCTAAACCCTAAACCCTAAACCCTAAACCCTAAACCCTAAACCCTAAACCCTAAACCCTAAACCCTAAACCCTAAACCCTAAACCCTAAACCCTAAACCCTAAACCCTAAACCCTAAACCTTAGCTGGAGGTCTGGAGTATGGCGGGCCTGAAGAGCAATCACGCCCCACACCAGGGAGGAATAGCCTGGCCGCCAGGGTTTAGGGTTTAGGGTTTAGGGTTTTTTAAGGTTTAGGGTTTAGAGTTTAGGATTTGGGGCTTGGGGTTTAGGGTTAGGGTTTAGCGTTTAGGGAGCCTTAAAAAATCAAAAAAAATCTAAACCCAAACCCTCAAACCCTAAACACCCAGCAGGGGGCTTGGAGATTCTCAGGGGTGTGAGCACGGCGCCGTATCCCTAAACCCTAAACCCTAAACCCTAAACCCTAAACCCTCATCCCAAACTTCCAACCTGCAGCCGATGACTCTTCTGGTGTGTTAAGCCTAGACCCAGTAACCCCCAGAATAGGGTGATGGGGGGTTACTATCGCACAATCATAGAGGGACCATAAGGGAACACTATTGGTAACTCTTCCGACCCCTATCATATGCCACCACACCGCGAGAGTAATGCGTACCAAGGGAGTGTTGTTCTTTCGCTGGGGGGGGGGGGAGGGCCCTGAGCCATAAACCCTAAACCCCAGAAGCAAGAACCCTAAACCCTGAACCCTACCTTAGGGAAGAGGACTACATGACACGCCTTGGAGGAAGCCATCCTGTCGAATCTGCTCTCCATCCTGGCTTTGGGTCTTGGGTGCGTACGCTTTATGCAGGGTTTAGGGTTTAGGGCTTCCGGTTTCGGGTGTCGGGTTTCGGGTTCGGGGTTTGGGGTGTAGGGTTTGGGGAGCTCAGTGCTTCAGGTTGTAGGGCTTTGCGGGCTTCTCGGGGCTTTAGGAGAAGGCTTGGGGGGGCCTTCGGTTTTGGCCTTGACTTTCAGGGCGGCCTTAAGGCCGTTAAGGGCTGATTGCTGCATGCGGATGGAACCTTGCCATCCGCGTTGCCGAGGCTTCTAAGCCGTTTACGGCAACCCTAAACCCCAAACCCTAAACCCCAAACCCCAAACCCCAAACCCTAAACCCTAAAAATGGGTTGAAAGGAATAGCCAGCTGACCGGACTGATCCGATTTCTGCATCCTCTCGGCTTTAGGAATTATACTCCCCTTAGAACCTGAATAAAGATTATATGTTTAAAACCCTCTCGGGTTTTGTATAAACAAAATGAAAGAACAATTCCCAGGGGGGATAGAGGGTAGAGTTTGGGGCTTTCGGGTTAGGGGTTTTGGGGCTTCAGAGTTTCAGGGTTTTGGGGTGTAGGGCTCTGAGCGGTTCCCGGTTTTGGGGGCTTCAGGCACTGAAGGGTGGAGAGGGCGCGCGAAGATAGGTACGACTTTGGGGCGACATATGGGCCATGTGGCTCACTCACTCACTGATACGCAGCTCCGAATCGGGCTGAGCGTTGCTCAACCTGTGAGGAAAAATTGCAGCCGCCGCTCTGATTACAGAGACTGAAAGGGCTGTCACGGAAACTGAAAGAAATTTAGGAGGCTAGGCTACACCGTTGCCGCTTGAGGTAGTGTCTTCGTGTCCCACGGGCATTACAAGGGGTTCAGGGAAAAGGAAATGATAGGCAACTGGGGCTAATGGCGTCGCATTCGGTGACCTATTCGGTGACATATTCGGTGACATATTCGGTAACATCTTGGGTGACCTATCCGATGAGATGGTCGCTGGGAGAAAAATCTGGGATCTTGTTGGTAGCGTTTCTGCTACGTATTCGATGACATATTCGATGAAGTCTTCGCTGACTTGCTGATGGTCATATTAATAAGTAACACTCAGCTATACCTACCTGGTTCAGGTTTTCAGCTATTTTTTGGTTTGAAAGGGGGGTTCACGGCGATTGGCTGCATCTGCTATTTCGTTCCAATGCGCAGTGATAGAGGCATCGAAGTGCGCTTCAGGATGTAGAAAAGCATACGCTTCCTCAAAGGTGTTCAGTAACCAATTTGCCCTTGGTTTGCCAACTCGACGTACATGCACGCTTCTAGGAATGTTTTGTCGTGGTTGAAAAAGTATTTCACGCATTGGGTCGTCATGTGGTGCTCTTAGAATATGGCCTAACAAGGTAAGTTTTTTCTGCATCCACTTTGCTGAAAGTTGGACGTATTTGTATTTATGTGAACGCCATAAAGTGTCTATGATTCTTTGGTTCGTCCAACTTCTGTCGACGTGAGTGGGCGGTATGTTTAGAACGCGTCGAAACATTTTGAGCTGAAAAGCGTTAATTTGGTTTTGCTCACGCTGTGTGAGTTGGATGGTTTCCAAGCCGTAAGTCAACTTGTTAAGGACAATGGATTCCATCACTCTTAGTTTCCATTTTACAGTCGTGCGGGCTTTTGACCAGAACAGGTTTAGCTGCTTCGCAACTGCTGTGGCTTCTCCCATTCTTCGGATAACTTCTTGATGATTATCTATGGCATCTGTTAGAACTGCTCCAAGATATTTTGCCTGGGTTTTTCTCGGAACGGCCGTACCGTCCATAAATTTGATAGAGGACTGCTTGCGATTTATGGTGAGATTAATGCATTTATCGAAATTGAGCTTCATATTGTAGTTAGCTGATTCAGTCTGTATTTGTCGCAAAAGCTTGTTAATTGTATGGGTGTGCGTACCGAACAGTAATGTGTCGTCTGCATATAGGACTTCTGCGTAGTTTATGCCTGGTATAGGCTGTAGCTGCTTTGGCGTGTTTAAGACTGTCTTGATGTCCTGGAAAATTGCAGTCATTAGAACTCCAAAAAGGTACGGTGATAAGGGGCATCCTTGTCGAATACCTGAATTTTGTATCTGATAATCGGAGCGGACGTTGCCTTTCACTACTCTAAACTTTGCTTGTTCATATATGTTTTGGATAAGGCAGATGATACGTTGGGGTATGCATAGCCGCGCCAAAACTTCAACAAGTTTGTCCTGGTCTACTTTATCAAACGCCTTCTCCCAATCTAACAGTACCAACGTGAGATTTGTTCCTTGCCTTTCTGCCATATCCATAAGCCTTCTTGCAATGAACAACGCTTGCGATGTTGACTTCTTTTTGCGGAATCCATATTGGGTTTTTGATATCCACGGCTCTAGCGCAGGTTCCAAGCGGTTTTTAACTAGGGCTGCCAGTATTTTGTAAAACGTTTGCAAGAGTGCAATTGGGCGGTAGTTTTCCAATTTTGCTGGGTCTCCTTTTTTGTAAATGGAAGCAATGTTGGACAAGTTTAGAGAGGCCGGGTAGGTGCCCTTTAGCAGTATTTCATTGAAGTGCACTAACAATTTTGCTCTGTTGTCGTTGTGCAACCATTTTATTAGCTCTGAGGTAACCTCGTCAGGACCCGGACTCTTGTTACTTTTAAGCCGTTTGATCACTGCGTTAAGTTCTTCAAGTTCAAAAGCGGACTGGTTAACTGCTGCGCCGATCTCTGAGAGAGAAGTGTTCTTTTGTTCGTGCGCAGTTTCTGGTTTTTTCCATTGCACACTACTCAGGTATTCTGCTGCCGCCGCAGGAAAGCTGCTTTCAGGAATTGGGTTGCCGTCCTTATCTTTGAATTTTGTATGTCTCGGGAAGAATTTTTTCTTCATTTGCTTCAAGCCTTGCCACTTATACCCTTGCTTATCCATCTCTTCTAGTTGTTGCAGCATACTCTTTCTTTTGTCTTGGCGAATTTGTTTTCTCAGTTGCTTTTCAAGATCCTTGGCAGTTTCCGTACTTCCTGCATGGTTGTGTTGACGCTTTTTGCTTAAAAGGTCCCAGGCCTCTGCTGAGATGTAGGCTTTCCTTTGCGCTGGAGGAAACATCGTAAATGCATTGTTAGCTGCTTCATGTAAGATATCGGCCCAAAGCTTTAATGGGTCGTCTGTAGCTTGGGGCACTCTGTCCTGAACTAGTTCTGCAACCTGCATGTTGTATTGATGAATTTGATTTTGCGTGGGAGGTCTGTATTTTGGTCGTTTTGTTGTTTCCGCGTAGCGCCGCTTTGCAAGTTTCACACGCAGATTAGCAACTAAAAGCTTATGGTCTGTTGTAATTGGGTGAAAGCAACTAGATTCAACGTTGGTTATCGCGTTTTTCCATCTTGAGTTGATTAGTACAAAATCCAACTGAGCAAAACGTGATGTCGTGAAAGGTTCCGAAAAGTTGGGAGTTGTGGTATTGCGATACGTTACAAGTTTCGCAGGATCCTTTTGAAAAAGTGTATTTGCAGCGACGAGGTGATTGTCTTGACACATTGAGATAAAACGTTCCCTATTGTCTTGCTGTTGTTCAGTTAGTAGGTCTATGCTATCTTCGTGCGTGCCGAAAATATGTTCGCCTAAGATCGTTTCTTCGTGTGGAAGTCTTTCCATAAGTCTGACATTGAAGTCGCCAATTGTCAAAATAATGTCATGTTTTGGTAACTTACCCAGAGCGTCGTTTAACTTATCATAGAAATCGTCCTTTTCCCTTTGGGGACGAAGCGCATGCGGAGCATAGGCAACAATAATGTGGGTGCAGAGTGGTCGTGTGTCGAAAGTTGCGACTAGAAGTCGTCCATCTATCTGCTGTATATTCTTCTTGTAATGCCGAAGTTTGTCACTGTACACTAACCCAACTCCATGTTTCTCCGCATCCAGATTGTAGAGCTGTATTTCGGACAGACCTGTGTTTGCACATTGCTTGTGTTGTTCTCTTTTCTGCTCTGCGAACACTTTGGTCTCATGAGAAACTCCTGATGAGAAGTAAAAAGTGTAATCATCATGTTCTTCCTTTGAACAGTGGTTCACCCTTGTTTCTTGCAAAGCTAGAATCTCGATGTGGCTTTCTTTCATTAGATGCACTATTTTTTGCCTGCCGGAAATGTGTGTAATCCCTCCTCCTAGATTTAATGTAGCCATCCTCATGTTCGACCACTTCAGTCTTTCATGAGTTTGAGTATTTTGTGTCATGGGCTGATCTGATTGAATTTTGGTACTTTCGGTAGAGCATTCTTGAGCTACTTGATAAGAGTTATACTGCGTAGCCTCAACAGTATAACACTTCCTCAACTTACGGTATTCTTTGCGCCTTTCTTGTCTTCGCTGCTTTCGGTTGGCTTTTCGTATGATCTCAGCAATGGGAGACCTTTTGTAAATTCGCCTAGTAGAGTTTGCTTTTTCTGTGTTTTTGCTGGTTTCCGGTTGAGACTTCGGGTCTGTCACCTTTTCGTTCCCACTGCTCGTTGAGCTGCGGGGCTCCCGCCACTCCATGGGGGGGAAGGTGTAAGCAATGTCATTTGTCACACGCTGGAAAGCTTGTTTGGCTCGTCCATAAATACCTTTGTTTTTGTAACTGTTTCGTGTGTTGTTACAGTTGTCAAGCTTTTTGAAAGAGAGAGGCCTAATGCTGGCAACTGGCACTTTTGATGGCATCTTCGCAGACGCATGCATCCGCAACATCTTGTTCCTCTCAACGTACATTGATGACATCTCTGACATATTCGATGACATATTCGGTGACATATTCGCTGACTTATTCGGTGATATATTCGATGACATATTCGCTGATCTAACCCCCACTGTCTTATTGTCGCTAAGGTCCAAAGGTATTTGCGCTGTGCGATAGAAAGTGTTCGGACCCTGTCTGGGGGAAATCTTCTTCCGTATGTTAAGAGTGTTAACAAAAGGATCCCAGATGTACTTGCAACCCCGAGCTTGGAGCCCTTTAATGTTACAGTAGGGAGGCTTAGGGGACTTGGAACGTTCGCTAGGGCGGCAGCGGTGGCTGTTAAGCCGGTGAGACCTAGCGCCTTGGGCAGCTAGTCAACTCCAACGGGTCAGCAATTTGTACAAGTGCTCATTGTATGTCTTGACGAACTCGGTTGTGGCCAAAGATAGCACTTCTATGCGGAACGGGAGCTCGCTCTTCATGGCTCGCTCGACTGTCGTGCTGTAAGCATTCCGCTTTCCTTTTCCCTCACTCTTTGCGAGCCCAATCTGTTCCATAAAGGATCCTTCCGGATTCACAACGTCGTCTCTTGACAAGTTGCCAACAGTGGCCAGGGTTTTGCTCTTGCTTTTTCCCCAACCTTTCCGGGACGTCCAAGCGAACTCTTGGGCTGTGATCGCCTGTCTGAAGGCCCTTTTGTCAAACAACTCTTCGTTGATATATATCACACATCTCCCATGAAGATGGTCTAAAGCACACCAAGCGAGATATGTCTCCACTTGCCCGGCTGCATCCGGGGTGAACACTGTGTTGTGGGCCCAGTCCTTTTTCCATGTAAGATCTGGTCGCAACTCAGAGATCACAGTCATGACCAACTTGAGCGGGATGCTTTGGACTTTGTCAAACGTACTGATCATGGGCTCAAAAACCAACGTCCCATTCACGCCGGTTTTGTTGTAGCGGTCTGACCTCATAGCACCGATTTCCGTTTGGAGTGTGGAATCAACCCATTCCTTTACTTTGTTGGCGTACTGCCCTTTCATGTGTTCCAGAAACAGCTGGCGGGTTCGAGAGTCACCTGTGTCTACCACACAAAAGGGACTCAGATTTCTGCCAATGTAGTTGGAGTACTTGAAGGACTTGATTTTGCCATCCACTATGCCGGCCTCTTTTGCGTAGAACTCAATCAGAGATTGCCGATGCGATTCCATGGCAAAGTAATCTCGGCTGCCTTGCAACTCATATTTCCACCAATTCTTGATGGAGATCTTGGTGCTGGCTTCTTGCCTTTGACGTTCTGCACATTGCCAAATCAAAAATCGTACCTGCGCTTGTTGCTGATTGAAATCGTCCGTCATATCCTTGAGGTCATGTAGCACATCACCGATTCGTTTTGAAGGCGAATCTTGGAGCAACTCTTCATCCAGGTTGCGTTGGCGCATTGACTCTTCACTCTTGGATCTTTTGGTGTCTCTACCAGGCGGCGGTGTGTATAGCGATTGCCTTTTGAAACGTGGATCATCCTCGTCCATTGCTAACCCTTCTTTGACATTTGCTCGACCCTGAGTGGCTATGGGCCATGTGGCGATTTCCCTAAACTAGGGGGCCCCCTTATTCTTGCAACCTCCCCCAAACCCTAAACCCTAGAGCAGTCTCCATCGAATGATGAGAGTTGTTTTTTCTGTCATTGAGTCATTAGGTTCCCTCGTACCCCACCCCTAAGCTATCAACCCTAAACCCTAAACGCAACAGGTCAGGGTTTAGGGTTTAGGGTCTAGGGTTTATGGCCAAGAAAATCTACGGGTTTAGAAAAAACATACTGTCCTAGTCTGCTTCTGCTTTGCTGGAGGGGTGGCGTGATCTCCATTCAACCACTCAAGCAGGTTGCCGCGCACCCATTCCACTCCTATTCTGGCCTGCTGGCTTCAGGTTCTCTCCCTTTAGCACACCCTACACATCCTACAAACCCCATAAACCCTAGACAACCCTATAAGCCCTAAACCCTAAACCCTAAACCCTAAACCTATAACCCCTACAATGAACCCGAACCCCTGCACAGGATGTGCGGCCTCATGTTACCTAGAGACTTGGGAGCGGCGGAGGGGGGGGGGGGAGGGGTGTGGATCTCAATTGTGCGGTATTTGGGGGGTCCGTATTGTAGGGTTCTCTAAACCCTAAACCCTAAACCCTAAACCCTAAACCCTAAACCCTAAACCCTAAACCCTAAACCCTAAACCCTAAACCCTTCAGGGTTTCGGGTTCAGAGCTTAGGGCTCTTGGCTTGTCAACCGCCACGTGCCATCCAACATTGCCCTCCTCAGTATCTGCACGGCACAAAAAAAGTTGGCTTGCGATACTAAGGGGTGCCTTATTGGGGTCCGCATTCTAAGGGATTCCTACTATTTTTGGGTCTATTTTGGGGGTCCCCTTTTTCGTAAACCCCCTGAACCCCAAACCCCAAACCCCAAACCCCAAACCCTAAACCCTAAACTGGCCTGCATGTAGCAGCCGATGTAGGCAAGAATGCCACCGAAGAAGGCCAGCTGGATATTCCTATGGCGAAGGGGGCTTGGGGTTTGGGGTTTGGGGTTTGGGGTTTAGGGTTTAGGGTTTAGGGCTTAGGGTTTAGGGCTTAGGGTTTAGGGTTTAGGGTTTAGGGTTTAGGGTTTAGGGTATAGGGTTTAGAGTTTCGGGTTTAGGGTTTAGGGTTTAGGGTTTAGGGCTCCAAATCCCAAACCACAGGCGTAGTTGTCCAGTATCCTGAGGGAACTAAAGGTTAACCTTCGGGGTTATAAAGGGAATAGAAGAATCCAAAAAGGTTAAAGGTTACCTCCTCTACTACTAAGCAGCCTTCAAAAACCAACACCTTGATTCAACGCTCTAAGCATGTCCCTGGAACCCTAGAACCTGCAGAGTTCTCGCGCTTGGGGCTAACCCTGGTGACTTTTACTCAGCTGGGGCAACGCTGTCCCGCAATGCCACACTTTGTGTTGGCTTCATCCAATGTCTTCTTTGCCAATGTCTTGCGGAGCTTGTCGCTGTTGTACGATCGAGCTCCCAACCACTCAAACATCACACAAACCTTCAGAAAAGGGGATGGGTCGGTGTAGCCACACATAAATCTAGGAATAACCGCTTGGACTAATGATGATGATGCCTCACTGCCGGCTGTCCCAAGGACAACGTCACGGCAAAGAACACCGGACTCCTCTGTCGACATTCTCCCAAGTTCCGTGCCGTCGGCACTGCAAATGGCAGAGCCGCCGGGAAACTCGGTGTCGAAGGTCATGGGTAGAATTGTGCTCGGTGAGGGTTGCTTCCACGGTCCGACCTTGTTGCAGTACAAAGCCGGACAGCCAAGATACCTTGCAGTCGTCGCACAGCAGTCATGGTACATTCTGCAGAGGGCATCTTTGACAACCTTCTTGGCATCATCTGCCAGGGGACCCGAGAAGGGCTGCAGTAGCAAATCCAGGGGCGCAGCTTGTTGCAGCTCCAGCAAGGACTCGTATATAAAGTTCTCGTAACAAATAAGAACACCGAATCGGTGTCCATCGCATTCAATCACATGAGGTCTCTGTTCTCTCTTGCTTTCGCTGCTAGCACCGGAATCGGGTGGGGGAGCTCGAAAGAAGTACGACTCGACGGAACATGGAGTAGTTTTGCTCGCACGGCCGCAAATAGTGCCATTTGGCCCAGCGAGTGCAAACGTATTGAGAAAATGCGGTTCCGTGTCGATGAACCGTGCCTCCAGGTAGGAAACACCAATGTAAACACTGTGTTGGGCAGCAAGCTGGCACAGGAACAGTTCGGTGGGCCCACCTTGGCATTCAGCGGCATTCCACATGGTCTCATAATCGTAGGTATAACCACAGATTGCAAATTCTGGTCCGAGAATGAGCTCTGGCGGGAACTGACTCCGGCCACTGCCGTCGTTGGCGCTGCCCTGCCTGAAGGCTTCTTCAACCAACGTTCGGAAGGTCTCCATGTTCGCGCGTTTGTTGCCTGTATCGTCACAGCGCATCTGCACGACGGCCACTCTCATCGTGCCAGTTCCGCTTCTAGCAGAAGAAGCTGACTTGGCCGATTCCATGAGTCCGCTCCGCAAGACAAGGTTACGGAATCCTATACTTCTCCCGCACTTACTACCCTAGTAGTTACAAGTACATTCATAGTAGCCATATTCATCTCTCCTCACCCCCTACCCCAAGTAAGACCCTACCAGGCACCTTCATGATGGTTCATGTGCCGAAAGTGGGGGGGAGATGGGCGCTCTGCCTTACGCACACCCGGAGAGTGAGGATGGGAAGCTCATCTTGCACGAGTGCCCGATCACTTGAGATTCCATGGCATGAGCCATGCATGGGGGCGATCAGTGCTCTTGTTATACTACTACTCACCATAACAATAGCAATAATAAAACGAGTAATACGAATACAAGAATGTTACAAAAACAAACACCCTTTTACGCAACCCAAGATCTCGCCTCTCAACGGCTTAGAGTTGATCCCTTTTCCTCTGAAGCGGTAAACCCTAAACCCTAAACCCTAAACCCTAAACCCTAAACCCCAAACCCTCCCGGAGCCCTATCGGCTAAGGCTGCTCTCAGCACTGGCCTCATCCAAATGGAGGAGTCCGTCTGCTTCAAGATCTTCTCCAAATACACGCCCGCCAGCCTCGAGTTTCGGAGGTTGAGAGAAGGGCTTAGGGTTTAGGGTTTAGGGTTTAGGGTTTAGGGTTTAGGGTTTAGGGTTTAGGGTTTAGGGTTTAGGGTTTAGGGTTTAGGGTTTAGGGTTTAGGGTTTAGGGTTTAGGGTTTAGGGTTTAGGGTTTAGGGTTTAGGGTTTAGGGTTTAGGGTTTAGGGTTTAGGGTTTAGGGTTTAGGGTTTAGGGTTTAGGGTTTAGGGTTTAGGGTTTAGGGTTTAGGGTTTAGGGTTTAGGGTTTAGGAGGCATAAGCTATAAAGGCCTGTGTGGCCTCTTCACCTGTTACCCTTATACCTGAATATAGCCCCGAGATACCCCAACAAGAGCCCCGAATAAAATGCCCATAAAACCCTACTTAAAGAGACCACCAAACCATGTAAGGAATAAGGTTGAAACTCTCCAAACCCGCGCCTTGCAGCACGTTAGCGCTAGCAGGTTTCGGGGTTGGCAGTCCCAGGGTTTTAGGGTTTAGGGGTTTAGGGGTTCAGGGGTTGAGGGGTTTAGGGGTTTAGGGGTTCAGGGGTTGAGGGGTTTCGGGGTTTAGGGGTTCAGGGGTTGAGGGGTTTCGGGGTTTAGGGGTTCAGGGGTTGAGGGGGTTTAGGGTTTTGGGTTTACGGCTTAGGGTTTAGGCTTTAGGGTTTAGGGTTTCGGGCTTAGGGTTTGGTAACGGTTAGTTGCCTTAGTACGGCTGCAGAAGCGTGCATCCTACCTCAAAGTCAACACACCCCAAGTTGAAGCCCTAAGCCTCAAACACTCACAGGTTCCAGGGTGTATGGTTTAGGGTTTAGTCTCTGCATCCCGACATGCCAAGACAAACCCTAAATAAAGCCTAGTCCTCTCACACCCAGCCATAACTCCATAACTCAAACGGAATCTGCAGAATGGCGTCGAGTTCGTGCTACAGTGCTACCGCCTACGACTCTCGAAGATGCCTCAGTCTGTTGACCTGCACCATGGTCCCTGAAGCCTCAACCCTGAACCCTAAACACAGTGGCCGAGGGTCACATCAGGGCCCTCTCCTCCCCCGCCCCTCCCCCCCCCCCCCAGCCCCCAGCAGTGGGTACGCGCAACACCACATCTGCACAGTGCTCTCCTTGAAAACTTAGGGTTAGGGCGGTTAGGGCTTTGGAGGCGGCAGAAACCTCTTGAACCCTCAAACCCTCATGCCTTAAACCACACCCCAAGAAACAAAACAAACTAAACTTCCAAGCCCTTCAACCCAAACCAACTTGAAGAACCCTAAATCCTAAACCTAAACCCCAAACCCTGAACCCTGAACTCTAAACCCTAAACCCTAGAACCCCAACCCTAAACTCTAAACCCTAAACCCTAAACCCTCGGATCCTCAGCCCTGGGCCCAGAGGTCACGCAGGCTGAAAGCACGGCTGCGAGGCCGACGGCGGAGTTGCCGCCGCTGGGCGAGGGGGCCTGGATGCTTCAGGAAACAAAGGAGGGACCAGAGAAGCGTGGTTCGGATTTGGGATTAAGGTTTAGGGCTTAGGGGGTAAGTTTAGGTTAGTTTAGGTTTACGGAGCTGATACATGAAAGATGATTGTGCGCCGTGCGTTCTAAACAAAAGCAACCCACATCCACACCGGTCGGGGGGAACGGGGGGGGGCGAGGGGCAGGGGAGGGGGGGGGGGGAGGGCGCCGCAGTACATAAGGGTTAACAGCGTGTCCTGCTAGGGCCGCTAGGGGGTCCCTTCTGGAAAGGGGTACGGGCGCTCGACTCGGAGAGAAAGAGATTCGCCATTTCGTGCGTCCCGTTGAAGAAAGCAAAGCTCCAGCTGGGCCCCCACACACACAAGTTTTTGGTTTGGGGTTTATATAGGGCTGTATGGGTTGGGATTAGTGTTGTAAGAGTTATATAGTTATATATATATATATATGATTCGGCCCCGGCGGGCCCCCCCCCCCCCTCCCCCACCCCCCCCCCCCCCCCCCATTGGTCCCCCCCCCCCCCCCCACGTGGTGTGGTTGGGGGTTGGTTTTAGGGTTTTAGGTTTTAGGTTTTTTAGGGTTTAGGGTTTAGGGTTTAGGGTTTTTTAGGGTTTTAGGGTTTAGGGTTTAGGGTTTAGGGTTTAGGGTTTTAGGGTTTAGGGTTTTGGGTTTTGGGTTAGGGTTTAGGGTTTTCCCCGCGGATGGGGTACTAAGATGAACCCCCCCCCCTGTGGTGTGGTTGGGGGTTGGTTTTAGGGTTAGGGTTTAGGGTTCAGGGTTTAGGGTTTAGGGTTTCAGGTTTAGACTTAAGGTTTAGGGTTTAGGGTTAGGGTTAGGTTGTAGGTTTAGGGTTTAGGGTTTAGGGTTAGGGTTTAGGGTTTAGGGTTTAGGGTTAGGTTTAGGGTTAGGGTTTAGGGTTTAGGGACCGTAGAGTAGACTGGGGGGGGGGGGGGATACCATGGGGGGGGGGGGGGGGGCCCAGGACGCTCGACGCTGAACCATATATAGGGGTTTCGTGTTGGGGTTTAAGGTTTAGGGAATACATCGCGGGCCCATGCAAGCCGAAATTACGTCCTACATGCCCATGTACCGCACTGGCTGAAAGATAAATCCTAAACCTTAAGCCCCGCAAGCGTGAACCCCAAAATTTGAAGTCCCAAGCCGTCGCGATCACCCCCAACTTCTTTTTGCCTCTGAATGATGGACATGTTCCGATCAAACCCTAAACCCTGAAGCTCGTCACCAGTGCCTTACGCTCATTACTATCTCTCGTTCTCTCTCCGTCTCTCTCTGTCTCTCTCTGCCTCTCTCTGCCTCTCTCTGTCTCTCGCTCTGTCTCTCTCCCTGCCTCTCTTTT